CTGGCTCTCGCCGACGCAGAAGACGCAGCCGCCACGGCTCAGACACACGCGCGCGCTCCGGGGCTGCGCGGACGCGCGGCAGAAGGTGAAGGAGCAGGAGGCGCGCCACCGCCGCACCGTGGAGCGCACCAGCGCGGCCGGCCGGCGCTCCCAGCGCGCCCACAGGTACAGGTAGCACAGGGTGATGAGCATGGCCGGCCGGGTCGCCCGCACCGCCTCCGCCCCGCCCCGGCCGGAAGCCGGGCTGCGAGGGGCGGGGGACCGGAGGGAGGAGCGCGCCGGGACCGGGAGGATGGAGGGCAGGGACGCAGCCGCCGATGCCGGCATCCGGAGGGTGACGTGGATAGCTGGCTACCCAATACAAAGGAGGGGGGGACACGGGACCCGACGACGACGACGACACGGAGGGAGGGAAAACGGGCTGCTCCCGGAGGGGAGGGAGGGGGAGACTGCAGGTGTGTGCCGGGGTTTCGGAGGCCAAGGCTGCACCACCGGCGCCCTGGGCACGAGCCATAAGCTGTGCTGGGGACGTAGGGCGACCAGAGGGTGGACCAGACCCCAGAGGACCAGGGGGAGGACTAGATACCATAGGCCTCTGGAAGGAGGGGGGAAGTGATTGAGGGAAAAAGGAGTCACTCCCCAGACGATGGAGTGTGATAAGTAGTTTGTAAGGTTGGAGGATGCCCAACGTGATGAAGTCACAATTTAGCCTCTCCTCCTTGAGGGTGAAAATGCAGAAGGCACTGGCTGAGCATGTATTTATAATGTAAGCCAGCAGTTGCTAACTGTCGACACACCAAGCATTAAGGAGCTAACAGCCTCTATCCAGTCCAACTGGGAAAATACGTAGGACATTTTATAAGATCATACTAAGCCTTCATGCCAAAAGGACTATTGGGTAAGTTGCATGAATTGTAGTAATTTTCTTTCTATTCTTTAAATAAGTGCAGGAGGGGCTGGAGAGATGGCTCAGTGGTTAAGAACACTGGTTGTTCTTGAAGACCTGGGTTCAAATCCCAGCACCCACATGGCAGCTAACAACTGTCCATAACTCCAGTTCCAGGGGATCGGACAGCCTCTTCTGTCCTCCGAGGCCATTGCACGACACGGGTGCACATACATACATGCAGGCAATATACGCATATACATAAAATAAAAATAAAATATTTAGGCTGGGCGGGATGGCACACACCTTTGATCCTAGGACTTGGGAGGCAGGCGGATGGATCTCTGTGAGTTCAAGGCCAGCCTGGTCTACATAGTGAGTTCCAGGACAGCTGGGGCTACAGGGAGACCCTGTCTCCAAAAGACATACATACATACATAAATAAATAAATAAAAATATTTAAGGGCAGGAGACAGATTTGCACGCACACACACCAAAAAAAGGCAAATAGGGTAGTCTCATGACAGATCACTAGTTTGTGAGCCTCCTTAAGCCCCATGGAAAAGTGGAACATGGATTTTGGTTTGCAGTGTTCCTGACTTTAGGGAAGCAGAATTATTTCTACACTGGCAGGCTTCTCCCATGGAGCTGCCCATCTGTAAAAGACAGTCTGGGGGCTGGAGAGATGGCTCAGCAGTTAAGAACACTGGTTATTTTTGCAGAAGACCTGAGTTCGAATCCCAGCACCCACATGGCAGCTAACAACTGTCCGTAACTCCAGTCCCAGGGGATCCACAGCCTCTTCTGATCTCTGAGGGCATTGTACAGCATGGGTGCACTTACCTACATGCAGGCAATACATGCACACACATAAAATAAAACAGAAAAAAAAAAAAAAAAGACACTCTGTAGCCAGGCATGACTTGCAAGGCAGAGGCCAGTGGCTCCCTTTGAGATTGAGGTCAGCCTGCTCTACACAGTTCCAGGCCAGCTGGGGCTACAGGGAGACCATGTCTCAAAAAATAAAAATAAATGACATTCTGTAAAAGACAGTGTCCACAAGGCTAGAGAGATGGCTCAGTGGTTAAGAACACTGACTGCTCTTGCAGAAGACCCAGGTTCAATTCCCAGCACCCACATGGCAGCTAACAACCATCCCTAACTCCAGTTCCAGGGAATCCAGTGCCCTTTTCTGACCTCCACAGGCATTGCACAACATGGGTGCAGGCAATACACTCAGACACATAAAATTTTTAAAAATAAAAAAATAAAATTTTTAAAAATAAAATTTTTTTTTGAAAAGACAGCATCCACAATACCCCTGAACATAACAGCTTCCAGTCGCTTGTTGTCCTGGACCTCTCTCCCGCACTGTAAGTGGGTCGCATAATGCAGTTGGTGCCAACAGGTTTACCACTCCCAAGTCTTGCCTAATCCAATGATAGATTTTTTTTTTAAGTTCACTGGCCATTTTTTCCACTTGCTTTAAACATCATAGAATGCCCACTTTCAGAACCCCAGACTTTGGGTCAGATGGTGAAGAAAAATCTTTCATTTTATATAGCAACAATAGGCTTAACAGGAGAATTCAAGAAGGAATGACTGTGCTCAGAACCAAGATGCACATCATGAGGGTACGCGGAGACAATAAAGGACGAACAGAACGTGGCCTGCACTTCCCTACAGGCAGCAGCTGGAAAGTGGGTCCCTGCAGGGCACCAACTAACACTGTTGTCTTAGTTGGATAGGAATGAGCTCATACCCTGAGGAGGGACTCATCACCATCAAATTAACCCTATTCTGCCAGCAAAGAAACAGCACATGAAAAGGGCTTAACCAAGTGAGGAACCCTAAATGCTTTACCAAACAAATAACCTTGCTGATCACTTTCTTGAAGTTTGCTGGATTATGGCCTAAGGACCACTCTCTTGACCTCACTAGAGATAGACAAGCCATCTCTTCCACCTGTATAATACCAGCATCTCTGATTGTTTCATGCTCTTACAGGCTTTGAAACCTCACATTTCCACAGATACCATCATCTGGTCCATAAGAGCTGCCCAGATTTGCCCTTAAATGTATCAAGGTGTCATCATCCTAGAATACACGATGAGAAAATTATATTTTTGCACCATTCCTATAGACACTTCCAGGTTATAAAGAATCAGGCCACCATGGTTCAACATGAACCCGTGAAGGGCTGGCATCCTTCCTGTCAGTGTGTCGATGAGCACCGATCTTTCAAACCTAAGGAAGGACCTGAGAGACAAAGACATAAGGGGAGAGAGGGAGAGTTACGCAGTCAGAGAAGCACTGTTTATGATGCCTGTCTAAAATGATCTCATTTCGTTTTTCAGATGGTAAAGGGTGGAGTTACCTTCATCATCCCCAGAAAGCAGAGGAAAGGAGGAGGGATTGAAGTAAAACATAGAGGAATCTCGTTTGTTCCGACCCCCCTCCCCGCAATCCCTCACTATATAGAGTGTGGTCTTCAACCAGCAACTCACCAGAAACACAGAATCTTGGTCCTTCCCAAACCCCAAAGCACATCTTTAATTTAACCAAATCACACCTCATTGTTTAGGTAAGTTAATGATTTTGTGTTGGGCAGCATTCATAGCCCTCCTTGACCCAGTGTGGCCCACAGGCTGTGGGTTATATATACCTGCTAGACTCATAACTGAGCATTTCTAAAGGGTCATGGAAAGCAAGACCACAATCTAGGCATTTCAAGGCTGTGCTGAATAAAATCAAGACTGCACAGAGGAAAGAAGAGCAGGCCAGCCTGCCGTGGAAGACGACCCCAGTAAGCCACCAAAATGGGTGGCTTTCATGGGAAGAGTCATGTGTCTTGCCCTTAGGAAAGTATGCCCCGGGGACAAGGCAAAGCAGTATTAATCAAAACAATGTTCCACTCAGGAAGCTATCCTAACCCCCATTAAATAGACACCAACTCCTCCCTAGGGGTGACCTTGAAGAGGATTCAGAACTCTGACCAAATGGCCAAAGCTGTAAAGGATACTTTGTTTTTGAAATTAAAAATCACAGTTCAGGGTCTAGAGAGACGGCTCAGTGGTTAAAAGTACTGGCTGCTCTTGCAGAGGACCTGGGTTCAATTCTCAGCACCCACATGGCCCCTAACAACTATCCATAACTCCAGTTCCAGGGGATCCGATGCTCTCTTTTGATTTCCACCAGCATCGCGTGACATGGGTGCACCTACCTACATGCAGGTAATACACTCAATACACAAAAATAATAAATAAAAATAAATTACAGTTCAGAAGCAAACTTTAAGTAACCAGGGGGCAGCGGTTGGAGAGATGGGTTAGCAGTTAAGAATGGTTACTGCTATGGGGGCCAGAGAGATGGCTCAGCAGTTAAGAGCACTAGCTGCTCTTAGAGAGGACCCAGGTTCAATTCCCAGCACCAACATGGCAGCTAATAACCATCCATAACTCCAGTTTCAGGGGATCCAACACCTTCTTCTGACCTCCACAGGCACTGCATGACATGACTGCACTTACACACATGCCAGCAGTATACTCAGACACTTAGTAAAAATAATAAAATTTTTTTTTTCAAAGAGCACTTTCTGCTCTTCCAGAGGACCCAGTTTTGATTCCCAGCACCCACATGGCAGCTAACAAGCTTCTGTAACTCCAGTTCCAGGGAATCTGATGCCCTCTTCTGGCCTCTGCAGACTTTGCATGCACATGGTACACTTACATACATGCAGGCAAAACACTCATACAAATAAAAATAAACTCTTTGAAAATAAATAAAAAGAAGTGACTGTAGGGCTAGCAAGATGACTCAGCAGGCAGAAGCACTGGCCATAAATCCTGACAATCTGAGTTTGAGTCTCAGAAGCAGATAAAGGTACATCATACACAATAATAATGGTAAACAGATCCATTTTTACCTGCCAAAGTACATCGCCTCTGTCTTAGAAATAAAAGAATATCTTCCCCCATCATATGATAAGAAAGTAATTTAATTACATTAACCAAAATAAAGAATTAAGAGGCTAATTGCCCCAAAGTACATGAGGCTAAGTATAGGAAATACTCACTTGAACCCTATCTTTTAGGGGAAAACAAGTGTCTTGCCTTACCATGGCATCCTTATGCCCACATCCTGGGAACTGTGCTATTTTTCTCATTAAAAAGAACGAGATCCTTGGAGAAATGTCTGCTGTAGCTGTCAGGAGACACAAGGCAGGAACAGGGAAACGTCAAAGAAAAATCAGGCCAATCAGACGATAGAGGACACAGCCAAAATGCCCCTCTGAGCCTAATTAGGATGATTTGAAAATCAAGTTTATGAAGGGCCTTGTGGCCATGATGGTTTCCAAGAAAATTCTCTGTATTCTAAAAGAAGGATAAAGTATATTATTGTTAAGCCTTGTGACTTGGTAATGTCCCTAGTATTGATCCTTTTATTGAATATTGGTACCTCTTTTGAGGGTAGTTTCTAACACAGTGAGGAACCAATACAAAGACTTTATAAAACCGGGCATGCCTCTGGTCCCAGCACTCAAGAGACAGAGACCTCACTCAGAGATCAAGGCCAGTCTGGTCTGTATAGGGAGTTCAGACCAGCTGGGGCTACAGGGAGACCCTGTCTCAAAACAAACAACAATAACAAAGAACCAAGGGGACTGGAAAGATGGCTCCATGGTTAAGAGTACTAGCTGCTCTTACAGAGGACCTGGGTTTAGTGCCAGCACCCACATGGCAGCTAACAACTACCCAGAACGCCACGAGATCCAGTGCCTTCTTCTGGCCTCCAAGGGCACTTCACAACACAGGTACACTTTACATACATGCAGGCAATACCTTCATACATATAAATATTTTTAAAGATGCCAAGAACACTAATTATAAAGGTTAAGATTTGATATATTAAAATTAAGAGATACTTTTAAAAAGACAAGCTCTAAGCAAAATGGACTATGTTTAATCAAAGTAGCCAATAAAGGGCTGATATCTGGAGTAAGTGAAGAACTGTAATCAATAAGAGAAAGTGGGGGGCAGGAAGAGGCTCGAGATGCACTAGGCTGACCAGCACCTCCAAAACAGATGTCTGATAAACTTGATGTGCAGTCTCAAAAGCACTGCAAATTAAAACCCCGATGAGAACTGGTGCAAACTCACCCAGCTGGCACAGATCCCTTCTAAAACCCTGAAGTTTCAGCTTCTGCCCCCACTGCAGAAGCCACTGTCTGTTTTTGTCTCTTCTGACTTTCCACAGCCTCTGGCTTTCCTGACCATGATTTCACCAGTCAGCAGAAACCACTAGGTGCTCAGACAAAGGGGATTTAACAGAGAACTGGTTGAAGCTTGACGTCGTTACAGTGTGTCAACTAAGAACACAGAGCAGACAGTCACCCCTCTGCCATCACAGGGTAGGGGAGTCTCCATATCTCTGGGGCCTAGATTGTCTGGTGGAAGCCAGAGCCCACCAATCTCTGCTAGAAAACAGAACAGAGAGGACCCTCTGCTTAGGGAGACGGAGGTAAAATACCCTATTCCTGTGGCCTAATGTCCCTGTGGCTTTGGCTCCTGGAAGCCAAATGCAGAGGCTTTGGGAACCAGAGGAGAGAGACCTGGGTGAGTCTAAAACAGGCCAGTGGCCAGGCCCTGCGATTTCTAAAACTCTCCTAATACCTGTCAAACTTCAGGGTCCTGTTTCTAGGCTAATGTTCACAGGTGAATTGTGTACATCCAGATTCATACATTGAAATCCTAAGCCCCAGAATTTCATGTGGCACTGTATGTAGAGGTAGAATCTTTGAAGAGGTAGGTAAAATGAGATCACAGGAGTGGGCTCCAGCCCAAGGAGGATCGGCGCCCTTCATAGGACACAGACGTGCACAGAGGGACGGCCATGTGAGGACACACAAGATGTTCCCAACATCAGGGAGAACAGTCTCTGATGACACAGCCAACCCTGCCCACACCTCCATCTTGGACTTGCAGACTGTGAGGAAATGATTCCTGTTGTCTCAGTGACCCAGCATGCAGTGCAGACCTAGCGGTTGGACACATCGCCCCACCAGGCTTGAGTGCGTCTTTGCTCCAGCTCTGGCCCAGTATTCATTTCTTCCCTGAGAATCCTGCCCGTCCTCTGGTGTCAGCCACCCCCTCACAGGGAGGCTTTCTTCTTGCAGGCCCCAGTGCCAGGTCCTTCCCTTCCGCACACATCTCCTTGCCAACTTTTCCTGCCTCCACCTCTTAGATGTTTCTACAGCACTTTCATGAAACCCTCCTTCCACCCCACCACCACACATTTCATCTTTTAGGTCCAGTTTCCCAATCTGATCTCCTAGGAACTAGCAAGACAGCCATTTTAAAAGTTCCCTTCACCACGTCCTACCGCTGTGTCATGTGACTCTAAAAGCGCAACTCTAAGGCCAGGCTTGGTGGCGCACGCCTTTGGTTCCAGCACTTGGGTGGCAGAGGCAGGCAGATCTCTGTGAGTTCGAGGCCAGCCTAGTCTACATAGTGAGTTACAGGACAGCTGGGGCTACAAGGAGACCCTGTCTCAAAAAAGAAAAAAAAAAAATGCAGCTCTAATCAAGCTGTCCACAGGGCGTCCAGGTCTTGCCTGGCACTCAAGATCTCATATGCACTACATAGCCTGGTCTTCCCTTCATACCATTCATTCAAAATTCCACATTCACTCCATACCAACCACGCACCAGACGCTGTACCAATTGCTGTGCACACTCAAACCTCTCAATAAGCGTGTGCTGTGGTTTGGATGTTATTTGTCCCCCAAGGGTTCCCGTGGTGGAGGCTGGGTCTTCAGTGCAGCAGTGGGAGGTGACGCTGGAACCTTTAAGAGATGGGACCTAGTGGCAACCATATCCAGTGTTTTTACAGTGTGACAGGTATGGTCATCTTCAAACGGGGCAATCAAGATACCAAAAAAGGTGGGGGCGGGGGGAGAAAATCCCATAATGTTTTAAGAAAGTTTATGATTTTTGTGTTGGGCTGCATTCATAGCTATTCTGGGGTGCTCCTGGCCACAGGTTGGACGTAGCTGGCTGGAGGAAGGTTGGTAGGTCTCAGAGGATTGCTACCCTCAGAAAGGATTAATGTAATTCTCACCAGCTAGTCTACATAGTGAGTTACAGGACAGCTGGGGCTACAAGGAGACCCTGTCTCAAAAAAGAAAAAAAAAAAATGCAGCTCTAATCAAGCTGTCCACAGGGCGTCCAGGTCTTGCCTGGCACTCAAGATCTCATATGCACTACATAGCCTGGTCTTCCCTTCATACCATTCATTCAAAATTCCACATTCACTCCATACCAACCACGCACCAGACGCTGTACCAATTGCTGTGCACACTCAAACCTCTCAATAAGCGTGTGCTGTGGTTTGGATGTTATTTGTCCCCCAAGGGTTCCCGTGGTGGAGGCTGGGTCTTCAGTGCAGCAGTGGGAGGTGACGCTGGAACCTTTAAGAGATGGGACCTAGTGGCAACCATATCCAGTGTTTTTACAGTGTGACAGGTATGGTCATCTTCAAACGGGGCAATCAAGATACCAAAAAAGGTGGGGGCGGGGGGAGAAAATCCCATAATGTTTTAAGAAAGTTTATGATTTTTGTGTTGGGCTGCATTCATAGCTATTCTGGGGTGCTCCTGGCCACAGGTTGGACGTAGCTGGCTGGAGGAAGGTTGGTAGGTCTCAGAGGATTGCTACCCTCAGAAAGGATTAATGTAATTCTCACCAGACCCAAGTCAGTTCTCACAAGAGTGCAGTGTTACAAAGCAAGGCTAAAACATGCACCTGCCTGCTTCTGCACACAACTCTCCCTTTCTGTTTCCCAGGGCATCCTTGGCAGAAGCCAAACAGATGGGGCCACCCAGTCTTGGACTTCAGCCTCCAAAAATGTGAGCTAAATAAACTTTCCTTAGACATTACCCAGTCTCCAGTATTTTGTGATAACAGTGGAAAACAGAGCCAGGCATAGTGACTCATGCCTATGGTTCCCACCTGTGTGGTAGGTAGATGTAAGAGGATTAGAGGTTCAAGACCAGCCTGAGCAGTATAGGGAGACCTCTCAATAAAATAACAGAAAACAGACTGAAGTACTCTACGAAATGGTTACTACATCCCCTTCTTTTGGAGGAAGAAACTAGATTTTAAAACACTTGCGGGACTTGCCCAGGGTCCAGAAAAACTAGATGGGGAAACTAAGGTTTGAATCTGTGGCGTTCTAGTTCGCTGGATAAGCTAGTCAACTGAAGGCAGGGACGTGTTGAGCACAACAGGACACAGAAGTGAGAATCAAGAGCCAAGAAGCGGGCTGGTGAGGTGGCTCCGAGGGCAAAAGCTCTTGCCAAACATGCCTGAGGATCTGAGGTCAAACCCTAGCACATACGGAGGGGTGGAAAGAGAAAATTGATTCCCATAAGTTGTTCTCTGACCTCATCATGAGCACCACTGGCCAGTGGGCTCTCCCTCTCTCCCTCCCATCCTCTCTCTTCATCTCCCTGTCATCTCTCTCTCTCAATAATTAATAATATAATAATAATAAAATAAGCTGGGCCTGGAGAGATGGCTCAGTGGTTAAGAACACTGAATGCTCTTGCAGAAGACCCGGGTTTGAATCCCAGCACCCAATGGCACTTAACAACTGTCCATAACTCCAGTTTCAGGGGATCAGACACCCTCTTCTGACCTCTGTGGGCATTGCATGACATGGGTGCACTTACCTACATGCAGGCAATACATGCATACACATTAAATAAAAATAAATAAAATTAAAAATATATATATATATCCAAGAGGCAACAGGGCAGAAAGTTCAGGGTATGCCACTACAAGCCCTGAGGACAGCCTTTTGTATCCAAGTCAGACAGAGGAGTTTGGACTGTCCCTAACTTGGGCACACCCAAAAGCTGTAGATGGGCATTATCAAGATCACCTGGGAAGACACCTTGCTTTGAAAAATGCAGAATCACAGGGCTGCAGAAGTGGCTCAGTGGTTAAGAGCACTGGCTGCTCTTGCAGAGGACCTGGGTTCAATTCCCAGCCCCCATATGGTGGCTGACAACCATCCGTAACTCTAGTTCCAGGAGATCAGATGCCCTCTTCTGACCTCCACAGGCATTGCATGACACAGGTACACACGTACATGCAAGCAATATATACTCATACACATAAAATAAAAATAATACATAAGATATTATAGAAAATGCAGAATCACGCTACAAGGGGGAAGTGGCCTGTACTTTCTGTGCAGCAGCTGAATGGCCATAACTCATTACCTCTTTGAGGAACTTCAAGAAGAGGAAAACTCAAGGATAAAAATTAAGAGCTCAAGCAGCGGGATGTGATGGCTCATGCCTGTAATCAGAAGGCTGAAGCAGGAGGATCATTTTAACTTTGAAGCTATACTTGGCTGCACAATGAATTTCAGGATAGCCTGGGCTACAGTGAACTCCTGTCTCAGAAAAAAATTGTTTTAATTTATTGAAAGTTCAATACCAGGTATAGCCGTAATGGTCTATTATCCAGCACTCAAGAGGTAGAGGTAGAAAGATCAGGAATTGGAGGCCAGCCAAGACTGCAAAGTGAGTTCCAGGCCAGCCTGAAAACAGTAACAAACTCTCAAAAAAAAAAAATAGGGCTGGAAAGGTTATTCAGCAGTTAAGAGCACTTGCTGTTCTTACAGAGAACCCAGGTTCAGTTCCCAGTACCCACATGGCAGCTAACAACCATCTGTAACCCAGTTCCAGGGAATCTACAACCTTTTCCTGGCCTTGACAGGCACTGTGTGCAACATTGTAGGCAAAACACACATTTAAAATAAAAATAAAATATCTTTAATCTAAATAAGGCTGGCAAGGTGGCTCAGGGGGTAAAGGTGCTTGCTGAGGAAATCTGGTAACCAATGTTCAATCCCCGGAACCCATGTAAAGGTGGAAAGAGAACCAACTCCATAAAGTTATCCTCTGACTGCCACATAGCACATGGGATACAAGCCCACACATACATCATGCACACAAATACACAATAATAATACATTTTAAAATAAAATAAAGGTTTGAAATGCAATGTGAGATCCTGGATTGGACCCTAGATCAGAAATAAAGGACACCAGTGGAAACTGAAATCCAAAACCTTCAGTTTAGTTTGTATGTCACACTAACAGTAAAGAGTATTGATAAGTCCATGATTGTGTAAGATGTCAACTTCGGTGGAAGCTGGGTGAAGAGTAGGGACTCTCAGTACTATTTTTGCAGCTCTTTCGTAAGTTACATGATTTCAGCATAAAAATTAGAATGTGCTGCCGGGGGGCAGAGGCAAGCAGATTTCTGTGAGATTGAGGCCAGCCTGGTCTACATAGCTAGTTCCAGGCCAACTAGGGCTACAGGGAGACCCTGTCTCAAAAAAAAAAAAAAAAATGGAGAGTGACGTTCTATTTAATTTCATTAGTACCTTTTCCCTGTGGTCATAAGCAAATGACTCCATCTCACTGAGCCACAGATTCTCAACTATTAAAAAGACTAACATGATGACTACAGGCTGATGAATACCTGTACTTCCTGTGTTTGGAGGCTGAGGTGAGAGGCTCACTGGAGCTCAGGACTTTGAGGCCAGCCTGGGCAACACAGAAAGACACTTACCTTGGTCCAGCAAGATGGTTTAAGGAGTAAAGCGCTTGCTGTGCAGGCCTGATGACCTGAGCTCAATCCCTGAAGCCATGTGACTGTAGAAAGAGAGAACATTCTACAGGGCTGTCCTCTGAACTCCACATGAGCTGCCATGGGACACTAACGCCCACACACAATAATAAATAATTTTTAAAGAAATATTGCTTCAGGGGCTGGGAAGATGGTTCAGTGGTTGAGAGCACTGGCTGTTCTTGTAGAGGACTCTAGTTTCAATCCCAGGGCCTACATGGTGGGCTAACAACTGTCTGTAACTCCAGTTCCAGGGGATCTGCTGCCTCCTGACCTCCTCGGGAATTGCACAACATGGGTGCACTTACATACATGTAGGTAATACACTCATAGAATAAAAATGATGAAATATTTTTAAAAAGAAATATTCCCTCAAAAAAAGAGACTCCCTACCTCAATTTTTTTATGTGCATTTATGTATTCCCTGCATGCAGGTAAGTGCATCTGTGCCGTGCAATGCCCATGGAGGTCAAAAGAGAGAGGCCATTGGATCTCCTGGGACTGGAGTCACAGTTGTCAGCTGCCATGTAGGTGCTGGGATTCGAACCTGGGTCTTCTGCAAGAACAACCAGTGTTTTTTAACCGCTGAGCCATCTCTCCAGCCCCCCACCTCAAATTTAAAAAAAAAAAAAAAAAAAGGAGGGACACAAAGTAGATAGTCTCCAACTACCTTCATCCTCTGAAACTCAGAACCCAGTCAGGCTACAGCATGATTTAACTGACTGGAATGTGATTTGCAGTGACCTCTTCTCCGTCTTCAC